GTCAACCCATTTTTCGATATTTGAAAATATACCGACAAGAAGAATTTCTGCTTGGAATTTAGGCTGTCACCGGTTGCTCTTTAAAATAGACACCGAATGTTCAAATTTCTACGCGGAAATGGATACCGAATTATTTATTCGATTCGCTAGGTGTATGGAAACTCAGCTGATTAGATCTAAATTGGAGTGGCAACAGCGTGAAAGTTGGGCAAATTATGCTATCGTTGAGATATTATGATGATAAAACATTTTCTTTAAATATTTGTTTATGAAAAAAGCACACACAAATCAGTATACCTAGAGATTCAAAAAATTATTAGTCGAAAAATAGCAGCATGTATTTTTTATATATAGGTGCAAATGCTTTACTTATCCAGAAAAAATAAACTTTTGGGTATATACATTACCCCCCAATCAAATGGAGCATCAGAATTTACCATTTTAATAAATGTTTATTAATTAACACTTGTATCAAATTGTTTGTACGTATTTTACCATACAACCATTTAGTTCAAACAATAGTAACCGATTTACCCTCAAAAAATCCAATCGGGTAAAAAAGAAGAGAAATAACATAAAACAATCTTGTATTGTACTTATCTGCCACTAGTATTAACGTGTGTGACAAAATCAATATTGGGCGTATTTCAGTTTAGATGGAGCTCACCGTGGAAAAATTGAACACGTCACAGACCGCAGCAGGAAAGAAAAACGGAATTTTAAGCCTTTGGTGTTTCCATGCCGATCGCATGCTAACATCACGTCGGTCAGACGTTCTTATCAGACTTGCCAATAACAAATTTTAATGTCAACACACTCGATCCGTTCCACGCAAGCGATCCATGCTTGGAATCATGTCGGAATATATCATTCGATAATGTTTTAAGTGAACTTTTTTATTTTTATGTTGCGTTATTTCAGCCTGAATGTTGCTAAATGCTTAGGGGTTGAAAAAAGCGCCCAGTGTCCTCCAAATTTATTGCTTCAAAATGAACACAGACCACTTAGTTGCGTTTTTGGAGTGTCAATTCTTAAAAAAGAAGAATTGTAAAAAGACTCTTGGTGACGTCCTAGGATAATAAATAGATGATAATCGTCAAAGTTGGGTTAGGGTTTCGTTGTTTTAGTTATGATTTACTGTGGTTTACGGAAAAAAGGCAGGAATTCGTCTAAGTAAAGAACGGTTCATTGAATATATAATTCCACATAGCCTATGGCGTGCTCTTGGGTGTGATTAATTAAAGAATCAGCAGTAAATATGTTTATCGCAACTTGTTTAGCTCTGCCGGTATCGTTACAACGGTAAATATCAAATCCGTAATTATAGTATCGAAAAACCCTACGTCGAATTAGGTATTTCACTATCGGACGCTCACATTTTCTGTGCGCGGCTAATGATGAGGAATTTTTTTAAGAACGACTGACGCACGTGTGAAAACGACTACCCGTAATTTGTTAAACAATTAACCACGTATGCGTACTTAAAAATGTTAAAGTATAATAGAAAACTGTTTAACTCGGTTGTAATAACATTCTAATGTGTGGTAGAATTATACCATCAGTATATCTACACAGTGTGTGGACAAAGCTATAACAAATAGCTACCCAATGTTGATGACTACAGTCATATTTTTTTTTTAATTTTTGATCAAACGAATTATATTCAAAATTTTTCTGTTTCTTCGAGGAATAAATCCCCTTAAAACCTAATTATAATTGAACTCAAAATCTTATGTCTTTTTCTATTGGTTTATACTTTTGTTACTACCAAAAAAGCATATACCCTCTTTTGTCCCGAGATTTGAATTTTTCAACAAAAAATTGGTTCTGCATTGTAGTTCGATGTTCACAACAAAAGAGTTACAAAAAATGCTAGTTGGAGTTTAGTTCCCCGAAATATCTTCAGGACTAGACCAGAAGCAAAAGGTTATGCGGGGTGTCCCGCCATAGCGTACTTCCTTCATAACTGCCAAAGACTGAGAAGTGCGAGAAATACAAATTGCTTAGCTATAAGAAAAGTATTATATTTCAAAGTTATACCTGAAATTGGCAGAAATCTCAATTAACCCTTCTACCGGGAACTCAGTTCTTTTATTATGACTCGAAATTTCGTAGAATCTATATGACATCTTTCAGCTTCAAAATAAAATTTGAACAATGGAAAACGTCATTATGTATGGTTGATATGCTGTAAAATGGCCGATTTCCCTACGATTTTGAGGAAGGAGTCTTTCAGCTCAATATTCATCTTGCGTCATGAATTACAACGTATGACTCAGGTCGGTACAAATTTTTGCCACAGCGCCGAATCAGTGATGCCCGTGATTCAATTCTTTTGGAAGTAATTAACTAAATTCAGCAAAAATCGCTCACAGGACGTGATAGCCTTCATAGCAATTTTGAAACATTTGAAAGTGACAAATAAACCAATGGTTTTTCACTGATCAACCCACGAAATCCGAGCTACGTCTACTTGCGTTTACTGTCCTTGTCCAGCACATACTTCACTAGTAGAATAATAGAAAACGCATACAGAGAAGAAACAGAAATTGATGACGCCAATTTAATGTAAGACATTACTATAAAAAAAGACGTCCTCTTGGTCGTGGAACACTTCGGACATTGCCTGTACTTTAGTCACTAGTTTGGGAGCGATCTGATATTTTCGGTAGATTTTAGTGATTGATGGTGTTTTGACATTTGTCAGTTTTAACGGTAACGTCAGACGTCACCGTGTCCCCAAAAACTGATAGTCCTTGGAAAAGTGTAGTATGCAACACGTTGATAAATTTGTTCAGTCACTCTGATTGTCAGTGATTAAAGTGTCGTCTATCAAACTTGTTGCATAATATACAATTTAATTCCAAATATTTTCTCGTCCCTGATAAATCACTGCAAAAGAGGTCAACCTTCCTTGACCTTTACGATTGACGAATAACAAACAAAATCTGTTCGCTGCGCGAATACAGGGCTTTGATGTCGTCATCGTCGAAACTCTGCTCTGGAATCACGAAAAAACGTAATAAACTAGAAAACAAGTCCTCAAACAAAGTCTCGATGCAATTTTCATTGTCGGTTAGTTATACGGGGAAGCCCTTTCCAGAAAAACAAATTGGTCAGTTTCCAATTTCCGCCGAAACTGAATCCAGGACAGGCCTCTCCCATTTTTTCCCCTTGGCGTAGAATTTAAACACAGGACGTTTTAAGACACGCTTACACCTGCACGAGACAGGGGGACGTATGGAAGTTTTTGATAGCTGCGAACTGGTTCTCTATCACTACTCCTTAATCTTCAGGTTCTGACAGGTCGCAATTTTCCTTTTTATCGGAATATGTTTGGGTAATTATTAAATTACTGGTTATTAATATTCCTATATATAAAATTAGCAATTGGTAATACTTTTTCTGTACTTTTTTATTCGGTTCATACAAATCAATATAAATGATATTTAAATAAAATTATAATTTTAATATAGGCCATATTAGGTATAATTTATTTTATTTTTTTCGTAACATTATTTGTTAATATATATTCTTCCTGTTTTTTTATTTGCCCAAAATGTGTTCCTTTTTTAATATTTACCCACAATATTTTTCCGCTTAATATTTAATATGTCCCTATAATTTTTGGTTTGCGGTTTTTTCTTGCAGCTGCTTTGAAGAAAAAAAAACAGAACACTTTCACAATTCACACTTTTAAAATACAGGTTAATGATGAAATTAATTATATTTATTTAAATGCAAAAATTTTCACTGAACGCAAGCGATTTTATTGTAATTAGCTCAAGAGTATTTTTATATTCGAAATACTGAAACCATAAACTTTAAATTCGAAATTATCTTTTTATGTTTGAAATACGAACGGAAACTTTATATTGGAAATACTTAATTACACATTTACTGTTCGGCTTTTTATATGTGAAGTATTGACAGAAGTCCTTTTTTTGGAATTATTATTATATATTTTTATATTAGAAGTAGTGACTAATACCTTAAATGTTTGGCTTTTTATATTTAAAATATTGTCAGGAGCTTTAAATTTTTGCCTTGGAATTCAAAGTTATATTTTTATATCTGAAATACTGACTAAAACATTCGATGTTTGGCTTTTTATATTTAAAATATTGACAAAAGCATTAAATTTTTTTCTTGAAATCGGAAACTTTTTTTTATAATAGAAATAGTTGCTAATTCCTTAAATGTTTGACTTTTTATATTTAAAATCTTGACAGGAGTATTAAATTTTTTTTGGAATTGGAAAGTATATTTTTTATATTCGAAATACTGACTGATACCTTAAATGTTTGGTTTGAAATATTGACAGGCACCTTAACAATTTTGGCTTTGACTTCGTCGGTCTCATTGAAAGATCTGTATTATAATCATCGTGTGGAGCACCCATCAAAAAGGTGATTGATACGAGTTATTTTAAGTTTTTCGTATATAAAATAGCGTTATCGCCTTTTAAACTCGTCTGTTTTAATCGCAAGTTTGACATTGCACATTTGGTTCGTCCGGACGTTCTAACACTACGAATGCAAAATTTTGTGAAGAACGTTCGGTTGAAACAAAGTAAAACGTATAGCAAAAATGACATTCTATAAAAGCTGCTGCCACCACAAATATCAAATCCTGTATTTTATTATAACTAAATTAACAATTGAAACGGACGTTTATAATTTCCATATAAATGAAAGGGGTCTTTTTTGAGCATAAAAATATGTGTTGGGATTTCGGAAAACACAAGATTAAAAGTAGCGATTATGTAATATTTTTTCTAAACACACAATTAAATTGACGCATTTTATATATTTACACTAAATTTGTTTGCTAACTTTCAAAAATTTGCAGCTTCTGCCTAGTTACTAAAAAATTTCTAGTTATTTTGTAAAAATGTTTTCAATTTCGCTATTTAATTTTGTTTCTGAAAAAAGAAAGGAAAACACTTTTGAGACAAAAACCTTTTATTTTTAAAAATAGCTAAATTTGAATTTGTTCAATATCTATGCGATTTAAACATTTGACCTATGAGTATATAAACTTTCTATGATATTTATATCAAAAATTTAAGGTTCCTACCCTAATATAAACAGTAAAAACATTTTTTTTCTATTTTTTATGATCAGTATACGTTCTCAAATACTTCATTTTTAAATACACAAGACCATAGCTGCCGAAAATGTCTTAAAAATAAATTTACAAACAACACAAAAAAAACACGTGTAAAATTTTAGAAGCTTAATTCTTTATTTAATTTAAATCATTAAATTAAATTAAATCAAATGTTTTACTGTTAGAATTACCGGTATCTGAATTAACGAGTTAAAATAACACATAGAGAAAGGAATAGGAAAAAAGCAACTTTTATGTGCTTATAAATAATTTTATTTTAATTGGGTAACAAAGAGAAGAAAACTGCAAACTGGCATGAACGGCAATCGCGTTGGTGCCCTTATCGATTCCCCCAAAACCTTGAACTTTTAGTCGGTTTCGCAAACAGGACCGGTTCCGTATTCCAACCCCTTCCATTTTTTCCTTAAAGCAATTAATACCTTGTCGTGTGAAACCCAAATAATCTCACAGTTTCTTTTTGGCGTTGGCCTGTTTCGCTTGGAGTTCAGCCTCCTCTTCTTGCAGAAGTTCCACCGCTCTAGCTCTGCGTCTCGCCAGCGGCACTTTGGCCCACCACTGATCCATCGCTTCTTCTTCCTGCACATAACATCGGGGTCAAGTGTCCGAGGAAGCCCTCAGGTTTTTACTGCACTAATACCAACCTCCCTGTAGACTGGCGTTCGTTTACACAGCGCATTGACCAGTTCCAAGGGACTCAGAGGGTGGATTTTCAGCTGCAACATCCTTTTTACCGTTATCACCTCTTTGACGGTGCTCAATATGGAACCTATCGCGTGATAAAAATGAAGATGTGAGATGTGCCCTGACGTCTTCATGAATTAGAAAGATTGGTACAATTTGAATATAACTTTATCCGACAACTAAGGAATCAATCACTGAGGAGAGGGAAATGGTACAAACGAATATCACGCTGAAATTGATAATGCTTTGCAGGAGGTGGAACGAGAAAAGATTTTCATCACTCACCTACCGTGTAGCCGTCAGAAATTTTACTTATGACGCTCGTATCGAAAGTCCAGCTCGCTACCATGTATTGCTCCAGTAGATGCGTCCAGATGTGGTATCTAAAACGGATACTATAATATTATAAACTCGGCGACTGTAACATTTAATTTAGATTTTTGAAACTGTAGCTGGAAGAGCGTAATATGTGCATCTAAACACACCTGGAACTGTAGTTAGGCCTTGGTACCACTAAAAACTTTTGGTAAACTTGCTGCAGCAGCTTCTGGTCGCTTTCCCACGGGCAATTGGTGATGCCTATTAAAATCACCCTGTCTTCGACGCCGAAATCTGAAACAGACGCCAGAAAAGATATAAAGCATATATGTGCTTCATAGTTCGATCAGCAGCGACGATAAGAACAGCTTCATCAAAGCCTAAAGATTTTCATGCAGTCGGGATAATCGAATCTCCGCTGTAAATTGTGACAATTTTTTCACGTGTAATTTTAACGCGCCGCCTTTAAGTAATTTTCCGCGTATAACATAAACCATAAACCATAGGTCAAAAAATGCACCTTCGCTCGTACCTTATTAAATTGTAGCACATTTGACTCGCTTACTTTTTATCATTTTCGGCAAGTCCTTCTTCAAACGTTTCGGATCGGTTTTGTCCGTCTTTGGTACCTTCTTCACAAACGGCCTCTCTGCGCAGTCCATGTAGACCACCGACGGCTGAAGCAACCTCGACACTTTTACCACCAGGTGAATCAGCATGATCAACCCCGACTTTCCGGGGTACTTGCCCACGATATTCGCCGGGGTGAGATCGAAAAGTACCGCCCCCGTTTCGGTACAAACGGCGTGGACCAGCATGTCTTTGCCGCAACCCCGCGGACCAGCCAAAAGGACGGATTTCACGTGGGGAGCGGACTGATGCAGCTGAGGCGATAAAAGGGGTACGACGCAATACTCAGTGAGGATTTGGCGCACGTCGCCCAGGTCCGGCGGCGGTTCTTTACCCTTGTTGAAGGGGGTGGGCTGGTGGTGGGACCTTTCGCCCTTGAAATCGTTCAACCACACTTCTGGATACCTGCAGTAGTCAATTCATTTATTGGGTTGTCCACCACTGCGACATTCTTTCAAATGTATCTTCCTAAGAGGTTTTAAATACAAAAGTTGTTGGTGTAAAAGTTCCGAAATGTAATAAAATTGGTCACCATTATATAGAGTAAAGTCTGTTTATATATATAAGAAAGTGACTAACTGATACGAATTAAGGAAAGACAGGGGCAAGCTGTAAGAATGAAATGTGGCCGAACAAGTCCGTACTTTGCTTAGAATTTAATTATTTGGGGTTTTGTTAGGAGAGATACTAAACAATATTTATTTATTTGTGTATGTATTTATGTTTAAATCTAAAATAAAATTACAAATTATTTTTATTACCTACTTAAATTACTTAAAATTATTCACATAATATATTAGTATCACTATCGCTATCATTGCCTGTTCTAATTATTATTTGTTCTATATTATTTGCAATATGGATATACAATTGTTCTGCCTTTTCAATATGTTTAACAGAATTTGCCCAACTTTGTGGAGGGATGTTAAACACTTGGGCTTCTATAAGTTTGAGGACATTGGAGTTAACACGGGGAAAAACATTGTTACGACGAATGGCAGATTTCAGTTGGTGCCAAACATGTTCAATGGTATTAAATATACAGTGGTAAGGTGGAAGCTTTAAAATTGTATGCTCTAGATTTTTTGCATAATTATCACAGACGTATTTCTTTTGTAAGTTCAAGCTTTGTAGAACCTCAATTAATTGCTTTTTGGTATAATCTTCGTGAAAATAAATGGCGTTATTATACATGTAGTTTTGGGTTGTTGCTTTTGTGTCACATGAGGAAGGGGTTTTAGTCAACTGTCTACTGTGATAATTTGCATTGTCCAATACAATGACGCTATTAGGAGGAATGTTTGGAACTAGTTTGTTTTTAAACCAACTTTCAAAGAAATCAGCGGTGGTGTTTTCATGGTAATCCAGAGAAGAATCTTTAATATTTGTCGCAGACAGAGAAAGTCTATTTGGAATCCAACCCTATTTAGAGCCAGCATGCAAAATAGTTATTCTTTTACCTGTTTTTGATGGGTATCATATCCGAAGTCTAAAAGATTCCATTAAAACTTTTTTAAATCTAAAACCCATGTGTTGAATACACTTCCATAAGGTAGTTTGGCCACATTTAACACCGGTTTCATCTTTTTCAAGCCTCCTAATTGTATAACTGGTAAATTTTACGCCGTATTATATCTATATTAAATCACTTTCATCTACACTCGAGAAAATGTCAGCATCGCTTCTTTTTTTCCTTGCTTTTTTTTCCATACAGTTGATGTTGGAATTTTCGTCAATGTGGCCGTTTCTTCTAAAGATGCTTGCTTGCTGGCACCATGTTCAATGAGAGTCAAATAAACATTGTTTATAACTTCCTTGGTCCCAATAGAATATTGTTTTCTACATTTTGGGCGGGAGCATCTCCTGAGATACACTAGACTCGCTCATATTTTGTATAATTCGCACGCGATTCGGCACACGCTGTATTACACACGAAATAAGAACGATTACTAATAAACTTAAACTAAGTAGTATACCAAACCAAAGAATATTAAACACAGGTAGGTATAAAATTATTTTCTATTACGGGCCACAATTTTACCTGAATTAAAATTCCGAAACTTTAGGTAATAATCTTGTTGCATTGTTTGTTAATGATCACCCTTGGATCACCATTCAAAAACAATTGGTCACTTTCTTATATCTATGAACAGACCATACCGTTTCCTTCCTTGCGTCTTTCTAAACTACAACATTGCTATGTGATTTGCGTGTTCGTGTCCTCGACCGTGATATATCTCCAGATATGGTTTTGTGTTTAGAGTTTTAGATGAGAATCTGGTATTGTACGGTATTGTGCATTGTATGTTAATGGCCACCCTTGGATAATCCCATTCAAAAGCAATTGGTCACTTTCTTATATCTATGAGCAGACCATACCTCAAAGGTATCTCGTTCATTTCATTCATTTATGATTCCTTCAAGTCTGACATTAATTAATCCTAATAATTTATTAGATATCTTGATTAATTTAAAACTGGTAATTCGTATAACACGGTGCCCCAAATTTAGCAACCAATTATATCATTTTCGAAGCTTCAAAACGTAATTTTTGTTTACAACTACAGTCAGCATTGATTTTGACCAAGTTTCACTTTTTTTATGTCAAAAGAGTGGCACCGCCATATAGAAAGTAATTATTGTAAAAATTTCATTTAAATTGACTTCGTATTTATTTGTGATTAAGTTCTTTATTGTTTATTAACGGTGTAACTTCAATTTTTGTGTTTTGATTTTATGTGCTAAAGTGAATTTTTTGCTACATTTATTTCATTTATTATATTTCAGCGTCTGCTTACAGGGTATCTTAAAAAAAAGCAGCTCTAAATTCATTTTTTTCTGTTTTGGTTTCATGTGCTACAATGTACTGAAACAACAATTTTCAACCGTAAAAATAATGAAACTGCTCATCAAATTTTTGACACCCTGTATACGATTAATCAATTGTCAAATTGTTAATGGCCACCTGCCAAGCAATGTGACTTCTTTTAAAATTAAAAAAAAAATCAGTATATGTAAAAAACTAGTGGGAAACTGTTTGGAGATATATACAAGAATTTCTCAGTAGATTTGAAATTGTTTTCTCTTTTCATCAAATATTTGTTTTTCACCTTGGAAATATTAAAAACTCACTTCTTAATGATTCCATTGGCGACGAGCTCTTCGAACAGCGACTCCGTAGTCCTGTCGGGCGTCAGATCTTTCTCCTTCTTCTTCTTACCCTTCTTGCCAGCTTTCCTCGCCTTTTTGCTGGTTTTCTTCTTGCCTTTGTGTCCGCGGTCTTTATCGTACGCTTCCTAAAAAACCCTCTCGTCCTAAAACCTCCTAAACCAAAACGCCGAGCACCTGAAGCAGCAGCAATTCGTGTCTCATCATTTCGTCGACCACTTTCCTGAGCTCATTTTCCATCTCCGTCATCTGCTGGTGCTCGATTATGTCTTTGTAATGGTACTGTCTGGGATTTTTTGTCTCGTCTCTGTTCCGCCAGACGTCGTCGTACTCTTCCTTCCTTAGATTTAGTTCTGGAACGAAAGTCGACACCAGAGCTCTGGACTTGCTCTCTTCCTCGTCGGTTTCGGAAGATTTCGGCTCTTTCGAAGATTTTCCCGATTTGTCCTTTTTGCTCTTCGAGTCTTTCGAAGACACGGGCGAAGATTTGGCCGAACCGCTGTCGGTTCCTAGAAAGAAGCAGTGGAAACGTCTGGCAATAGCATCTATCAAGTACAGTTGGAGCCTGGAAAATCTGTTTAGGAGTTTTCAAGAATAGTATTAATATGACATTAGAAAACTAGGCATTTTTTCTATTGTTACAAGGACATGACGCTATTCAAGCACTTCCATTTTGGAGACTTGCATATTTTATGGTAAATATTCTCCCTAGACTTTTACCCGCCCATTATCGAGCATTCGGAACTTTGATATCTATCGAGATAGAGTGCGACATCCGCTTAAAATATTTAGTGTTGTATCTTTCAGAAATAAGCGTAATATCATTCTCAAAAACATTCCTGGTACTGTTAGATAAATGCAATAATAGGTTCGATAGGGCTCTGTAGATATTCTAGTATATTCCAAAATACATATTAACCAATCATCAAATTATCGTACCCTGACGGCTGAGCATTATTCTGGAAGTGCTTCTGTCAGAGCCAGTGTACTCTGGAATCTTTCCCGTCTGTGCTTTGTACTCCGTCAGCCAACCCCTTACTTGGTCGCTCAGCTGTTCTAACACCACAGCTTTCTGGGTAGCCTCCAAATGCTGACGAACATGTTCGATTTCTTCTTCGTAAACTTGCCGACGTTCCACCTGGAGCTGACGTCTACGCTCCTGATTCTGAAGATCCCGTTCGATTTCTTCATTCTTTTTCTTCGGGGGCGGTATCATACCTTTAGTAGCAGCGTAAATCGGATTTCATAATGTATGAAGCTGAAACTTTGCAAACAATACAATCATCTTTACCAATTAGTAGCATTTCCTGCAGCTTCCTCCTCCTTGTGGCCCTCCTCGCGATGTATCCCCTCCAGATTTTTTGAATCTTCAACGCGGCGGACAAGCTGATACCGTGCTCTCCATCTCCTGTCCCATCCCCTTCCGGTATCAACTGAGGTTTGCCCTTCTCCTTCATGCTTCTAATCTCCTTCATGAACTGTGCCCTCAGACGTCCTTGCCTAGCCCGTTCGTGAGTCTGGATGATCAAGATGGCGCGCTGCTCGGTCATCGGCAGTTTCTCTTCTTCCTTTTCGACGTATCCCAGCTTGGACAAGACACCCTCGATGACATTTTTGTTGTAAGCGATTTCATCGACTCGTTCGTTTCGGAAACAGCCCGGAATTTTCAGCTCCAGGTCTGGGGGTGTAAGTTTTAGTTTTTCCATGATATCGCCGCAGTGGGTCCATTCGTTTAGATCCGCCTCTACCAAGTCGTACTATAAAAAAGTCACTTTTACCCTGCTGGAGACGTTGCCACCATACCTTTAGTTCCAAAATCCTGCCGAGCGTCGCTTCCAGAAGCTTCCTGATTAGGATCCGCTTTTGAGGTTGCACGACCAGGTCCACGCACACGCTTAGTTTATTCGCTATGACTACGTAGCGGACGTATAACATCGCCAGTATAGCTCGATGCTCCCTCCTGTCGGCCTGAACCGGTTCCGACGTAAGAGTCTGCACCAGCAGGTCCTGGGTGTTTTGGAATTCTTCTTCGTAAGTTTTGTTAGACATTTTTCACGATACTCGACGCGTATCTCATCGGAAGGCTTCTATGGCAACCCGTTTCTGATTGTTTGATCTATATTTGAGTCGGCGCAGTAGCAAATGTATACGGCTGGTCTTTAAAGTGTAGAATAGTAAAAAGTGGTTAGGTTCATTAAGGGGCTTGATATGATATGATAAAAGATTTGTACTTAAACAAAACGGAGTATTTGAAACAGAAATTAACATGATATTTTTGGTGACAATAAATATATATTTTTTTAAACTTTCCATTCGTAATCTATAATTGTGTTATTTGTGAATATTTGGTTATTATATAGATTTTTTCTTTAGCTGTCGACTCTGAATCGACAATAATGATCGTGGAGCCTAATAATTACGTTTAATGAACGTTGATGGCTTGGGAAATACTGACACGACTCTTTAATCCGGACGAATTTACATGTGTCCGGTAACTTCGAAATCCTTTTTTTACACTGAATAAAAAACACGGCAATACTTTTCGATTTATTACAACAATTTTCTATACATTTAACACACGTTTTTATTGGTTTTATTAATTTTTTGTCGCAAACATAATGGTCGTGATCAAAGGAGATCCAACAAGCCCTTAGTACACTGCTGTCGTCAACATTTCAGATTTTAATCACTTCACTTCTCTCTTATGTTCTGTGATCGTGCCGTTGCGATTTTTGACATTGCGAAGCAGCATTAGACATTCATGAGTATTTGTTTATTTCGTATGTATTTTAAGAATGACTTTCCGCGTCTCCCTTTATAACTTCATTGGTGGTAATTTTTGGAGAATATGGTTTTCTCGGTACCCCTATGAAAAACGGGCTCAGGCCGATCAATAGAGGATGTATCGCTATCGTTCCACCACAGGAAAGATACCCTGAAGTACTTTTCTTATAAATCTCATCCGCAACTACCACATGATAATTTTTGTGAACAGTATAAAGCTGAAATTCGTGTTGCCCAGTTAAAAAAAAACGAAAAAGCGTTTATTTTCTTGATTTTTTTCTATTTATGAGACATAAAAATTAAAAAGTTTTGTGTAATAAATGTGGTGGCAAAAGTTATTTGCTAAAAAATTACAGGATGTTGAAAATAAAAAAATAAAAAATAAGGGTCTCTATAATGCAGATTTTCAAGCTTGAATCGTAGAAATTGTGTCCCACTTAAGAACTGTACGCCCTTGTAAAATTTTTGTTTATGGTTCGATTTTGATATTTTTTTATTAGATAAATCTCTGCAAAATACGCTAAAATCTTGTTTTGCTTATTGCTTCAACTTAGTTATGACCAACTATATAACAAAAGAGAGAGAAAAGAGAGGTTTTATTAGGAATTAAAAAAAAAAATTGGCAACGAATTCTTGCTCAGTAGTACTTAGAACCCAACTATACCAATTTTTATAATGTTTCAATACACGGTGTTTAAAATATCGTTTGCGCCCCGCTTAAGACTATACATCGCTGTAAAATCTTTGATTACGGTTTCATTTTGAAATTTCTTTAAGAATTAAGTGTCAACGAATTCTTATTCAGGACTACATAAAACCTAACTTTACTAATTTCGATGAAGTTCGAATATAGGGTGTTCGAAAAGTCGCGGGCGTCTCGCTTAAGCATTACTGCTGCAAAATGTTTGTTTATGGTTCAATTTTGCTAATTCTTTTTTTGTTGGATCCATTTCACTGAAAGACACTAACGATTTTCATAAAATTAAATATGATTAGAAATGATTAGATGTCCAGTGAACAAAGTTTACAACGCTGTACTTTTTTCAATAAAAAAATAATAATGAAATTAACAGAAGTATCAAAATTATTTGACGTCGGCATACTGTTTCCTTTGTAAAACCAAACTTGCCATGGAGAAGCGAATATTCCACTGTCAAATTCACTCGCTAATATATATTTTAATTTTGTTTTTATACCTTTCGAATACTAACATTTATTAATGGTTGTTTTAAGATGATACTAAAAAATAAATGCCCTTTAAAAAGTCTTTTTTGAAATTTGTATAATTAAAATTTGTAATATCTCAAAAACATATACAAAATAATCGTTATTCATAAGGGTTACAATATTTATTTTGGTTTGGTTGGTTTGGTCTAGTTACTTTTAGGTAGTCCTGTTGTCATTTTCAATTGGAAAAAATCTCTAAACGTATTTCTCGATTTTCCGCTTCAAAAAACTGTCATTCGGGCCTGACTTTAGTCGATGCTATATGAAAAATCGTTTCATTTCAGTTTAATAAGATCTGTCCAGTAAGAAAGAATTATCAAAATTGAGCCATAAACAAACATTTAACAGGAGTAATGCTTCATGGAAATTAGTATAGTTAGGTTTTATGTAGTCCAGAATAAAAATTCGTTGTACACTTTATTCTTAAAAAAATCTCCAACAATTCTCAAAATCAAACCGTAATCAAAGAATTGACAACGATGTACAGTCTTAAGCTGGGCGCAAACGATATTTCAAACACCCTGTATTGAAACATTATAAAAATTGGTATAGCTGGGTTCTAAGTACTCCTGAATAAGAATTCGTTGCCAATTTATTTATTTTTTAATCCTTAATCGTACTTCTCTCTTCTCTCTCCTTTGTTATATAGTCCCAGTTGGCCATGACTTTAAGTTGAAGCAATAAGCAAGGTTTTATTGAATTTTTCAGTTCTTAAGTGGGACACCCTGTACATAATTAAAAAAAACATATTATTTGTTAGCCAAGGCTAATCATAAATATTTTTTTAATTTATTGGTTAGTGTAAAAGTTTCTGTGCAACGTATATTACTAATTACTTTATTACAGTTTTTACTATATTACAATTTATGATTATGGTGTGATTAATACCAATATTATACTTCTGTTAATTATTTAAATATACCATAGATTTAGAGAAAAGTGCAAAGAGGGTTATGTAACACTATTAATGTCGTTTAATAATAATAACTCATAATTTTAAAAAATCATTTGCAAAAGAGATGAATAACGAAAACAGTTACCATGGAAAAATTCACAGAAAACATCTAACATCTCGTTAACATTTTGAGAAAACTGGGTTTCAAGAACAACCCCTTGGTGGGAATTTCAGGAATTCGAAAATAATTTCCTGCATTTTAATCAGTCGATTTGCTTGATGCATTTTTTTTCAAATTTCTAGGGTCACCCATTGCTCTTATTGGATATACGGTATATCTAGTCGCTATAAGCACAGAAGTAATCATTTTTTTCTCTATTGATTGGCCCGATTGTTGAAACAAAAGCCGCGTTTTTCCACCACCTGCGTCCAATAACCGATTCGAGCCCATCTGGTGTGTCGGTCCCGTGGGATATGTATTCGATGGATCCATCTATATCTGGATAATTATATTTGCAAATCGTCGGGAGCATATCACTAGTCGAAAGTTTAAAGTATGCTCGATTCTGTGACGTTGAATTCGGCGCCCGGTCTCGTGGTCGTCAAGGACGCCAACGTCGAAAGCAGACTCGACGCGGTCGTGCTCGAAGGGCGGGTCAGATTCAAAATGGCGGTTTGATTCGCTGGCGGCATGATGCCGCTGTGATCTAAACTGCACGGGTGATGTTCCATCGAGCCGAGGGCGTTCTCGATCGAGTAGGCCACGAGCGAACCGGCCGCGAGTCCGAACATGTACATCAACGTCATAATGTTTCCTGCAACAATGTGAAGAGTTTAATAAAACCGTTTTTTTTTCTAAATATATTTCGAGAGTCTACTGGAAAAAAAAATTATTTGTTTCTTGGTTTGTATAGATATTAAAAACTGTTTTCGAGTTCTTGCTGTATTGATTAACGCAAAATTGAAAATACTATTTCTTTTCATTCCTTGTTTAGATATTTGTTTGGTTTCTTATTTGTTTCCCAGTGTGTCTTAGCGACTTTATCTATTTTGGGCAAAATACTTTTTTCTGAACTTAGACCTTTAATTAGGAAATGACTATCGCAACCAGATGAATTGTGGTACATTACCGGTACGTAAAAATTAATTGTTTAATTAAATGACCTTTACCTTCAGCAAGAATTTTAATTTTCCCGAGTATTAAAAAGAATGTTTTTTTTAATAGGCTCCAAATTTAATAGTCTATTACTGAATTTCGCAAATTCACTATGAAAAGCTAAAATATACTTTGGTCCTCCGAGTTTGAAAATCGGTGCTTGTTACCTGTCAACTCTCGATGGCGGTCTTCGACCTTGGACGGCGCCTGGATCATGGGTACGCTGCCGAGGATCCCGTTGCTTAAGCCGAGCAAAACGGAGAATATGAAAGCCGTTATCTCGGCCGAGAATCTAGGACTATGCCTCGGTGCCACGCACATTACCATGAGGGGGATGAGCAGCAACCTCCCAACAGAGCACCTGACCAGCCTACCTCCTGTCCAATACCTAGAAAACGACTCTTAACATGTCAAGGCGTATAAACGCTTACAGCTCAGACCTTGCTGATGACGCGATCATCTTGCCTATTAAGTCAGACGCGTTGAACAGCGCCATCATCAAGATAGGCATCCAGTCTCCGAGCGTGCAGCTGACCACTTCTGAGGCCACCCCGGGATATATGCACAGCGTTGCGAAGTAAACCAAGCAGATCGATATCATGTAAGGGTAGGTGGACTTGGTCACTTCCCATCTGGCGTGCAGCCCTCCTGTAACAAGTGGGATGATGGGCTCGAGATAGAGCCAGAAAACAGAGAAATGATTTGCGAAATTATGTTCGATGCCGTTGTCAAGACTTTGGTTGCTGCTAGTTATTAATAGAAGAAATTAAACGTGATTTCATACTTTTGAAAGCGTTGATCCCAACTCCACCGCTGCTGACACTATGACGTCCTCTGACCACGACGTCTTCGACCTTGTAGGTGGGGACCGGCGCCGAAGGTTCGTATGCAGGGTTCGCGAAGCTCAGGGAGTTGCCGCTTGGAGGCGGACTGGATTGGATCTTGAGTATACCATATTGGACGTCATTAGTTTCGATCTAGAAGGGACGCTTACTTGACGCAATGATAGAATTTCAATGATCATGGCGCTCACCAGTCCCGCGTCTTCGGTAGGCTCGAGAGTTATCCTAGTTTTTGCCCTCTCGCAGAGCGCTATGTAGAACTGTATGAAGTCGGATCTGCGGATGAGATGGTACATGGCGAAGCACGTGAGTACCGTCGACACGGAGACTGTGAAAAAGTAAACTGTGCTCCCGCGTAGCTCGTTGACTATGCATTTGGTGATGACACGGACTACAGACGTGAATACTCCGGAAGTACCTAGGGGAATGTTGGTAAATCTGACTGGAATTTATTACTTTTCTTTGACTACTGCGTTGACTACTAGGACTTTTTTTACGTTAATATTGTTTAGATGAGTAAGAGTTCAATTTTCCAGCCTAGCTCCTTTAATTTATGGGTTCCGTTTTGGGTAATGTCAATAGATGAGCATTGTCGGTACCATTAAATTAAATTAAATGGAGACACAAATAGCTAATCAAAGCAATCAATATTGAAATAATGTTTTTCCTTTGTGAGTGCAGAATCATATGAATTTAATTTTAAATTTCGAGATATTGCACTAAGAACAAAAAATATTCAAAATGTTTCTAGTGGAATCTTTTAATCTTATAATTCTCTCATTTTCAAAATTGGCACTTTGGTAGAAAGATCGTATAAATAATTAATAATAAATGTGATAGAGAACAATAAAGGTTTTTGTTTAATCGTGATCAAATAAAGCAGATATATGACATAATCCAATCAAAAATCTTGTTTAAAGGGTGGGGGTGATAGAATTAATAGAAACTTGTTGGGTTTTACCATTATGTATACCACGACCATTGTCTTTTCAACGATATGGCATTTGCATTAAAAATGGCGACGGTAGGGATTCTCACAGAGGCATCTTCAACTTGTAATATGTTATTGAAAATGTGAATAGAGAACCAAATAGTGTTAAAAAATCTGAAAAATCATGAAAATTTTAATGAGCAATGCGGAAAAAGTCTTCTTTTTGTGTAATAAACAAAAAAGACAAAAAGAATTTTTCACAAAAAGGTTGCTTCAAAAAATATAGTCTACTTTGGCTTCCGTAGATCTGAAAAATTATAGTTTCATTACTTATCTGTATACAAGATCCTCTGACTGAGTTTTCTGCTGCACTTTCCACTGGTCTTTAGCTTTAAAAAAATCGTATCTTCTCAAATGCGTTCATATACACATTTCTTAGGTTTCAGATTATCTTAGGTTTGTTTTGATTTTCTTAAACTTAATTTTATCTTACATCATTTTGTTTTCTGGTATGTATGTCTTATTTTTATATTCCCTTCATAGCTCTATGATGAATGATTTCATCTTGTTAGGATAAAGTACCCTATGTTACGAGCTTCGGGCTCGAAACTTCATTGACCATGTTTGGCTATTATATTGAATTTTTGAAATTATGAGCTATTTACTTAAGAAAATATTGTTTTTAATGTTGAAGCTACAAAAATTGGTTTTAAGGAAACATTGTAAATCGGTATAATATATTTTCAAAATCTAAAAATATGTCTTCTTCTTTTTCTTAATAGGTCTCAGGCGTGTTTAATCCAGAACGTGCTTCGATCTCTTTCTGTGTCGACCATTCTCTTGTTTCCGCCGCTTATGTCAGTATTAGTCCAAGATATTTTAATCGGGAATTTCATGTAGCAGCTTTTACAGATCGGCTTCACTTACTATATGTTAAAAACATTTTTCTACTCCCGTCTGTAAAATGACTAATTACACACCGACGTACGGTGCGGAAAGCGTCACTTTACCACGTCCGTTTCGTTTCCCACGGATCCGAGCCTTTTCGGATATTTCCGGGATTTTACCGCACGGGTTTGGGAGCAATCGGGTGTTTTCGGAGATTTTACCGCACGGTTTGAATTTTGACGTTTATTAATTCTGACGGTCATGTCAGATTTTTTCGTGAAGGTCGTAGAAAAAATATAACACGCAAGACGTTTGGTAATAGTATATTATGGAACAAGTGCGGTAAACGGCATTTGACTCACGAGTTTATTTGACACGAGCGGAGCGCAGCGGTGCGATTGTTTAATTAACGAGTGACATAAAAAGTTTACGGAACGTGTTTTGTATACTATGTGGCTCGGGTCCGTGGCAAACGCAACTGACGTGATAAAGTGACGCTAGATCGGTGTGTAATTAGGTATTTTACAGACGGGAGTAAAAAAAACTTTATCTCACTCACTCAGATGCCGTTTACCGCACTTGTTGCATAATATACTATTCTTTTGATATTTTTATTTGTGGTAGTTCGACGCAGAGCACAAGGTTGCATTAAAATTGTTATCGTGTTATATCTTTTTCTTGCTTATTCTTCAACCATAGTAGTAGTCCAAGTTTTGCAAAAATTTCTTTTCACGTGTGGCAGTGACGCCTATAATCAGATTGATACTCTAAAAAAGTTTTTTTTGTACTTACTTTCACCCACCATCACGGCTTGGGTGTATTTAGGGGGAAGCATGCTAGTGTACCCGTAGAAACTCGACTGTTGAACTAAAAAAACCGACGTCGTAACTAACGTGTGCCAATAAATAAGAGGAGTTTTACCTGTACATCCGACGGCGACGACGGCGACCGCCGCCAAGTTGACGGTATAGGAAGTGGCGGTTCCAAAAGCCTCCCACCACACTTCGCAGACGACCACGAAGATTAAAGTGATGAAGGACATGACGTATCCTGGAAAACGAAGGGATATTGTACCGCCGATATAGGGATGGCGGTCGGGGCTAACCGAAATTGATCCTACAGTTGAGGCTGAATGTTTCGACCAGCAGATTATTACCCAGCACGGTCAGAAGCGCGACCACGATGTAAACCAACGACATGTCGAATACCACCGGGGTGCCTGGATACCGCACTTTGAAATAGTCCATCGCCATTATGAAGCTAGATTAACGGAAGCGATTAACAATTAGGAACATTGTAATTGAAATATCAGTTGTTATTAATAAAAATTATAGTAGTTACTTAATACGTGTACTGGAATTTATTTAAAGGCTACCTAAAAAAATTCCCAAGGTTTGTTCCAGACCGGAAAGCCTGGAATCATAGATTCATAGAATTTTCACAAGATTTTTTGTCTGGAAAAAACGTCAGGTGAAACCTGGAATAGCCAGGAAATTTATTAATTTAAAAAAAAAATTAATTTAATTCAATTTTAACTTATAAAATGGCGGGACTACTGAATAAGGATGTTGAAGTTGCAGTATGCTGTTTTGACACCTTTTTGCAATAGTTCCCTTGCCGACTGCTATATTATGAGGAAAAGTGGCTACTAAATTAAAAGTGAACTTGAAGTACTTTACGTTTGAGACGCTTTAAGTGAAAGCCAACCTCAAGAGTCATTGTTCATGTTTATTTTTATTCTTAAAATAGAAATAAATACTGGGTATGATCTGTTCATAGATATAAGAAAGTGACCAATTGTTTTTGAATGGTGATCCAAGGGTGATCATTAACATACAATGCAACAAGATTATTACCTAAAGTTTCGGAATTTTAATTCAGGTAAAATTGTGGCCCGTAATAGAAAATAATTTTATACCTACCTGTGTTTAATATTCTTTGGTTTGGTATACTACTTAGTTTAAGTTTATTAGTAATCGTTCTTATTTCGCGTGTAATACAGCGTGTGTTGGATCGTTTGGCAATTATGCAAAATATGTGCGAGTCTAGTGTATCTCAGGAGATGCTCCCGCCCAAATGTAGAAAACACTATTCTATTGAGACTAAGGAAGTTATAAACAATGTTTATTTGACTCTCATTGAATGTGGTGCCAGCAACCAAGCATTTTTAGAAGAAACGGCCACATTGATGAAAATTCCAACATCAACTGTATGGAAAATTGTGAATAATCCCATTTCAGTGTGGAAAAAAAGAAGTGATGCTGACATTTTCTCGAGTGTAGATGAAAGTGATCAAGATATAATACGGCGTAAAATTTACCAGTTATACGAGGAACAAAGCGTGCCTACATTAGATATTCCTCCCAATAGCGTCATTGTTATGGACAATGCAAGTTATCACAGTAGACAGTTGACTAAAACCCCTTCCTCATATGACACAAAAGCAACAATCCCAAACTACACGCATAATAACGACATTTATTTTCACGAAGATTATACCAAAAAGCAATTAATTGAGGTTCTACAAAGCTTGAACCTACAAAAGAAATACGTCTGTGATAATTATGCAAAAAATCTAGGGCATACAGTTTTAAGGCTTCCTTCCACCTTACCACTGTATATTTAATCCCATTGAACATGTTTGGCACCAACTGAAATCTGCCATTCGTCGTAACAATATTTTTCCCCGTGTAAACTCCAATGTCCTCAAATTTATAGAAACCGAAGTTTTTAACATCCCTCCACAAAGTTGTTTTCTGTTCTGTTAAACATATAGAAAAAGCAGAACAATCGTATATCCATATTGCAAATAATATAGAACAAATAATAATTAGAACAGGCGATGATAGCGATAGTGATACTGATATATTATGTGAATAATTTTAAATAATTTAAGTAGGTAATAATAATAATTTGTAATTTTATTTTACATTTAAACTTAAATACATACATAAATAAATAAATATTGTTTAGTATCTTTCCTAACAAAACCCCAAATAATTAAATTCTAAGCAAAGTACGGACCTGTTCGGCCATATTTCATTCTTACAGCTTGCCCGGGTCTTTCCTTAATTCGTATCAGTTAGTCACTTTCTTATATCTACAGACTTTACCCTATATAATGGTGACCATTTTTATTACATATCGGAACTTTTACACCAACAACTTTTGTATTTAAAATCTTTCAGTAACAGACAGATACGTTTGAAAGAATGTCGCAGTGGTAGGCAACCCAATAAATGAATTGACTATTGCAGGTATCCAGAAGTGTGGTTGAATGATTTCAAGGGCGAAAGGTCCCACCACGTTCAACAAGGGTAAAGAACCGCCGCCGGACCTGGGCGACGTGGGCCAAATCCTCACTGAGTATTGTGTCGCAGTTAGTCACTTCTTTATATCTATGAACAGACTTTACCCAAAAAAATTTTTGAGTGGTGGCCACCACAAAGAATGAAAAGAAGCTTACCACGGAAAAGCTGAAAGGCAGGAATTGATGAAGCTATGCAAAAGTGAAGTCTCACAGAGGATATGTACAGCGATCGAGGCGCGTGGCGGTCGGGATTCGGAAAACGTCCAAGACTGTAGCCAAAACGCTTTTATTATTATCGTATAAAGGTAATACAAATTATTAACACTCTGAGTAAAAAATCTCTTCACTGCATCCTGCCAGACAGATAGTTACATACTTCAGCAAAAGCTAAAATTATAGATTAAACTGCAACTAAATCATTTAGTGTAGAAATTTCCTTCCACCATTAGTGTTTAATATCTATGTCGAAATGCTATTTCATCTTGCTTTGGATAATAAAGTTCAGGAAAGTAACGAAAAAGTTCAGATATCTTGCAATTGTAAGGAAATATGAATTTGTATGATCAAAACCACATTTTCTAAACTTAAAACTCTCCTTCGTCAAAAATCAAGTGCCTACATGAGACTGGTCTTACTACATGGGGCAGAAACGTGACCAATAAAGATAAAATGTCTTAACCGGATGGAGGCCAAGCTATTACGGCAAAGAATGGGAAAAAATCTGCTAGACTTTTGTTTTTATTACCAATATTTCTATAAATTCTTGTAGATTTTACTGTTTGGTGAAACATATGCCGTTGGTTTTTCGGTCTCCTCAGAATTTTCAGATCTTATTGTACGAAGACAAAAAAATCGTTACTCTCTCGCGCGAAGTAAATACTCGCCTTATTTTTTATTTATTCATTCTTTATTGTCTTTTCCCTAGTTGCGGTACCTTTGCAAATCGACATCTTCCTGAGCAGAAGTTAAATAATTTAAAGGAACCCTGGCCCGCCCTCACCAGTCAGCAACGGGCGACGACTGCGAACGACCTACCTGTTATAAGGAAGCAGGAATCCCATCCCGCCCAGAACGAACGACAGGTAGATTACGTTGTAAGCGTCCACAGGAGGCGAGATGTTCCCGAAAGCCGCCCTGGTGGTGAAACCGTCGCTGTCCCGTTTCTTGGGACGGCCCACCAGCTTCGAGTACCCGTGACCATCGTTGGCGACTTCTTCCACCATCGTAACGATCTTAATGTAACCAGAACATTTTAAGAAACCACAATCTAACTATTAAAGCTTCGCTATCACCACAGTTTAATCGAACCCGACGCGTTTGAAGCGCTCAAATTCGAACGATTTCATTTTTTTCTTATTTATTACTACATGGAGATCTCGCGTAGAGCGGGTCGACTCTCCCGTGACGTCAGTCCGCCGACGGCTCATATTGATTAAAGCCGGGCGGCCTAGCGAGGCTCTGACATGCGTAGATTTTTGGGTAAGTTCGCTTTTCTTTCGCAAAAGTTCGTTTTGTCCCAAAAGGAACTATTAACACACTTAGAAATGACGGCAGGAAATAATTTACTAACCCCACAAGACTCAGTCTCAGAAATTTCTTTTGCAACCCATCTCGATTGTCTTTATTATTTATATTAGTTTCTAACTGGTCGTTTGGAATTCTATCATTATCTTTTCGCATTTTCACGTAAAAATCAACTTGCCGAAACATTTTAAAACGAACCAGGAGTTTCAATTGAATTGCCATCGTTTTTTCAATTTTCACTCTTTTGTTCCGCTGACGATCGATCCCCAGCGCTAGGCAACCAACCGCACACCAGCCGAGACAATTGCATAATGCTGCTATCTGTCGGGCGTCTCGTGACCTGCAAAATGACAATGCGGTAATGGCCGAATGTTACCCTTCGCAAACGTCAAAATTACCCACGAAGTGATACGAAAAGTGTAAAGCGGCGTCGACGGCATCCGCGGGCCCCTTGCGTTTGATAAAACGCGTGTTATAACACGCCGCGCGTTCGCCGAAATCGTTTTTCCGTTTCGCTTTGTCACGGTGCGCGGTGTCTGCAACTGGAATGCTTCTCGGCGAAGGATGGTGTCTTAGTGCTTTTTTTACCTCGTGACGAGGCTCGCACCATGAAGTCCGCGTTGTTATTTGCTATCTTAGTATAATTGTTGTTGTTAACCTGTTAACGATGGGCGCGAAACCTAGCACCGCGAACGGGGGCTCGCAGAGTCCGCGAAGCAGGGCTTTTTCCACCAGCAGCTCATCGGAGGTCGTCACGGCCCCCGGTTTTCGATTCATGCGATCCTTGGGGCTGGAGAATGATAGGCAAAGAGCAAGGTAAGGCGGCCGTGGAATTTTTCTGTCTTAATTTTCGCCTTTATCTGTGACAACTGTCATTATATTTTTGTTTTTAATTTCGTTATTTGGGTGTATTAATAAATCGCTGATAGCGATAGTGCGTGTTGTTTCATTTCGCGTGTATCAGTGGTCTCGAAATAAAACGATTTAATTTTGCATCGTAACGGATAATTTAAGTCCCGCCGGGAACTGGCATTAGCAACAAATTACTTTTTATTGATACGATTATGTAATAATCCGAAATATTGAATAAAATCATAAAAACTTGAGCTGAAGTGTGAACTATGATTTTCACCAATAAGTAAAACCATATTGAACGATTTAAAATCTACAGATGCACTTTCCGTGCAATGAGATATTCGGTGGTAGCTTCAAGAAAAGTTAATTTTAAACAAATTTATTTATAGCCCTCGTGGAAGATTGGTTTAAACTGGGAATCGGAAGAAATAATAAACATTTCTGGATTCGGCAAGGCCGTGATACGACTCGATCCCATATTGTTGGGAGCCAAATTGATTGCTATATCACAGCTGGTTTTATGTAAATAGGTCGAAAATTTTTCATTGTCTCGCCTTGCCTTCGAATTCTTGGAAATGTGCGAAAAAAATACCTGCCTATGATTTGGCATTATCTCGCGGGATTTTGGTTATCAACATTTTATATTTTTGATTCAATTGCGTCGTAAACATCCCTGGGTTTAGATAACGCGTGTGCGGCTGTAAAGCCCGCGAATTCATTAGCTGTACGAAAAAAAAATCCATTAAATCAATATTTTTGTTCATTTGCTTTGAAGTGTCTTGTTTTGACATTTCGCCTACAGTTTTGCGCATGGAACAATAAATTTCGTCTCGATAGGTTTTTTAATTGAAAAAACCTATCGTTGGGATTCATAACGGATTGTTTCCAAGATATCCCGTGAGATTTCCCGTTATAGCTATTTAGTATGGTTGGTGTTTCGAGGAAATACGTTACATTGCAGTTTTTCATTGCAGCATTTTCCAAGGTTGCAATATTTTTATGTTTTTTAATCGATTATTAATAGTTTATATGATACCCACATCACAATGATTTCAAATTACGCTGTACATTTCATCGCCAATGTACAGGTTGTCCAATATTCGAGACAGGGAAAATCTGGTGTAAATTTCTTTTTGATAAATTTTTTGAAGCATTAATTATCTGCACGACTGAACTATATTTACCACTTTTAGTGGTAGATATACTTAGCACAAAGTTGTTTTTCTAATGTAATATCCTAGGTATTTTTTAATTTTTTGTTTGCATTTTGAAATTTGAGCACCTTAAATGGAAGTAAGATTTTGTCCGTCTCCCCTAATAGAACCTTTTTACTCCAATTATTACGGATTTTCCTCAGGTTTTTTGATACTGCATTAAACACCTTTAAATAAAGCGCTCTAATTGTCCTATTCTATGCAAAGGCCCAGAAGTTCAATCAGAAACCCGAGGTTCAAAATTTTTAGATTGCAGGAAAGGAATTTATTTGTAGAAACGTAAATCGTATGTTTTCTTGGGATAGAATTGCTAGAAATAGCAGTACATTTTATATTAATAACCATTAAAATTGAATGATTGATAACAAAATGATTGTTGAAGTTTAAAATATCTCAAAAGCATTTATTTAGCATATTCCAGTCGTTTACACTTTTCTTCAGTAAAAAAGATTTGAGTTAAATATTACCATTTGGAGTTGAGGATTCTATAGTTTTCAATTATTAATGAATCACCTTGTATATTTTAATTGTTGAAAAATGAAAAAATCCCAAATTAATTTGTTAATTTTCTAAAATAAATTATTTTAATTTTTTTGATTGACATCTTTCGGATATCACATTGGATATCCAGGTGCTCTGCATTCCGTGCGACAGAGGATTTTTCCACAGTTAGACGTTACCGAATAAATTTGGTCCCGAATTCTATAGTAAGTTCCAAAATTATAACCAAAACCGTCATTGCGATCAAACGCAGTTTGTATACCTAACCTACATTTAGTGGTCGTGTGTCCAAGCCAAGCAATCACTTTTTTTTTTCGTTTTATGGTAATTTTTTTTCGCTGCCCCATTAAATTTGTGTCGCGTAATTATTATGGGAAATAACCTTCGTGACATAATCAAAACGAATTTCGGGTTTTTATCGCGGCGCAAGCCTGGGTAATTTTAAGACACGAACGCCACTATAAATGGAAGGCCACGATGGTTCTTGCCAAAAAAAGAGGTTTTTCTAATCCCTAATCAAAAGGGTGGCCCAGGCATAACGACTTTTCGAAATAGGCAAATCGTATCAAATAAAACGGAGCGTGTACATCTAATTCGTTGTTATTCGATGCTAAAAGAACGCAGCGAGTGGCCGAATGAAGGCAGATTTTTCACACCAGCAAATCTTAAGTACGAGGCATTTTAGGAAAATTAAGGGGTAAATAAAGCCTGAAATCTATCGTACTAGCTCTTTCTGCTTTTTTGACATTAATTTCTTAAAGAGAAAATTGCTTAATTAAAGGTAAAGAGAAAGAAAAATATTAGGAAACAAATTTTCTAAAAATAATAAAAAATATGATTGACAAAACTTTTTCCCGCTATTTTTTATTACTTTAATTGTTTTTTAATTCAATCTAGTTTGTAATTTATGGTAATCAGATCTTGTTCAGTGCTTTTTAAGTATGACTTTTTTTAAATCTTAAAGGTAGCGTTACATTTCTCCTGTATGATTCCGCTTAATGGTTGTTTTGTGTCTTCCACCCGTTGCAAGTAATGTTAACGTGGCACTAAGCTTCTGGGGAGGTCAGATGTCTCTTTAATAACCACTTCATCTTCGACTTTTTCTGTTATTTTTGCTTTTAATTAAAATGCAAAGAGCCAAGAGTGACCATAGAAATGACAAATGCGTCTGGACCCAATTATGAACGGATTAAGTGTGCGGAAAGTGTCACTTTAAGATGTCGGCCTTGGTAACCGCTTTCGCGAGCCACTTCGGCCGTTTCCGGCGCTTCACGAGTTTGGAAGCGATGTTTTCGGTAGATTTTAACCACTGGTCATCATGTCACGCTTCACTCAGTGGATGTGTTCGTGCTGTTTTACAAAAATGTACCCAACTCATGATTAAAGTGGCTAGTTTACGAGCAAAACTTGGCGATAAAATCGAACTTTAACCTTAACTAATAAACGAGGAAAAAGTTAAACATGAAAAAACAATTCCGTCTGTTCTATTCAACAGGTCGTTATCAAGCGTGCCCGACCTGCACGGAAACGGCGGGCCGCACGAGGAGGGCGTGGCCGCGATCGAGGGTGACGTTTCGGCGACGGGCAGTCCCGGCGCGGACACGGACAGCAGCGGCGTCGGCGACGAGACCGGGATAGGGCAGGGGGGCCTGTTAGGCACCGCCGCTGCCGCCGCCCTTGGTCGCGTGTATGCCGCCCATTCGCTGCCCGGCCACATTTGGTCGTTGAACGGTAAGTGTTACTTCCTTGTAAAAGAAAAAAATCCGGCTCGAAGGACCAAACTATGCTCCGTCCGATTTACGCTAGTTGATGTAATGTAAAGTTTACCTGCGAACTTTAAGCGACCATCGGATATTAAATACATTCTACAAGGAGTCTATTGACCAAAAAAAAATGCATCGCCTTTTATAAGAAATATAAAAAAACTAATAAAAGTTTTAAATTTTAAAAATTGAATATCTTAAGGACTAATTGCCACAAGAACCTAATTTATGACGTCAAACGCCATTAAAAAAAATGATAACGTTTTCAGTTTCTTTTGGGATTTAGCGATTAGTAGCATTGGTTGTTACAGTGAATGAATAAAAGTGTTTCAGACATTTTCAGTATGGGAGCGAAATGAGATACGGGATGCGGCAAACAAATTTACTCGTGAAATCTGGTGACCCAGCTCTGTGGAATTCGCGAAACCTGTGACATAAAAAAAATAATAATAAAAAAAGTTGGCAAATAGCAGTTGCTAACTACAAGAATTATATGATAAAATTAAACGAACTTTATTGGTGAGATGTTTTATTTGGATTTTTAGAAGTATTCAGTCAACTAATTATTCACGGATGAAAAATTGGTTAGGGTTAGGGTTAGAAGATAAAAGGCAAGGTCATTAGAAGTAGGTTTTTATATAAAAAAAAAATGTGTCGTTAGTTTCGATCTAAACGCGAACGTACACGTGAAAAGCCAATTTTCTCGTTCGCCGATACGGCTGTCCCGGCGATCCAGTATTAATTTCCACGAAATATGGACCAAAAGGTACCGGGATAAAGGTCAAGGAAATCGGTTGCCTCCGGGGCCCCCTATAGAACCGATTTTAAAATAATTTTGTGCCCACGGCTTTCGCTTTTTGCTTTTAAATTGAAAATAAACGTTGCAAATATAGCGGATGAGTACTTGAAGGGCCGAGTAAGAATTGAACGAGTATATTGCTTCGAGAAAATTGTTAACATATAATTTATTACTTAACTAGTAAAAGTTACTGTTAGAGTTAAATTGGTAAGTATGTGTATGCGAAATTTGTAGAAGATCAATTGCTTTTTGAAGAAAATAGCAAATAGTAAATAGTAAATATATCAATCAAGTTTTAATAAAGTTGCCAATATTGAATTTATTATTGAATGAGTAGAAGTTGTCTGTAGTAGGGACTAGTAAATTCTGATGGAAGTAATTAGTCTCGAATGAATTGTTTCAAAAACATTACAAATATCAATTGCATTAGCCTTGGCGTCACAGAGATGGTCGGAACTTATACTGGCTCCAAACAAATTTGTTTATAATGGTGCCCCTAAATAAGATTTTTTTTATTTGGATATATTCCTGAAGGAACGCGCTATTTAACAGCATCTCATTCGTTCTTACCCAGGTGAGTTATTTTAACGTAATAATTCTGCTTGAAACCTCTTTGAGGTTATGTTTAAGGCTTCTAGGATTGCTCGAGAAAGTGACAGGGTCTTCACGACTTGATGCTTCACCGTTTAAGTCCATCGTGGGCTTCTCTATGGCAATTGATCATTCCTGAAGGAATACGGGCATTTGACTTCTACAATGGCTTCTTCGTCGATCAATCCATCAGGGCTAGCACAGAGAAACTCTGAAATTTGTAAGCTATACTCCAGTAGGCCGACCATTTAAATTATAGTTTTGTCTCAAATGGTCTAGAGCACCCTTTTCATGAGTCTACATGACTACCCCATTCAATTGCTTTTATACCATCCAAATTGTATAAACCTAGAAAAATATTAAATAAATAGTAATGATAGTAAAGAAAATCTATTTCAAACATGCATGACACAAATATATCAATATATTTATTTCTCACCTAAGAGTGTCTAAACAAACTCACTGGAAATCAATTTTTGATACAAGCTACAATAATAGCACCAAACTTGCTAGCGGTCAAGCGAAATGTCCTTACGTTTGCGACCTGACCCGTAGTAGATCTAGCAATATCTTTTATAGCCTTATCATCAACAGCACATTTTTCCTTGAATACAGACACTCTGTCTGTGGCCTTCAAAAAGTCTTGGGAAGAAATTATTAATTAATAATTAATGTCGACTTCTGGCTTTATTGACTCCTCATTCAGTAGCCTAGTGAAACCAACAGTGTTTCCAAAGCTGCGTAGCCTTTCCCTCAATTTCTTTATTGGTTCCTCAGGTACTGCATCCTCAAGGGCTCTTCCGCACACTTCACTGGCACAGACTTTGGTTTAGGTGGAGCATTCCACGAACATGCTGGTCTATGATTGGTATGTTAGAATGATCAAAAGGTTCCAATGGCGCGGTGGCATTTTATCCCTCTCGGACATATACAGGTGGCTGGTGAAATATCACCATTTTATTCGAACCCTGTAATCAAATTAACCAAATTAATTCATTATTAGAATAAAAAAGGTTAATTAAATAATTAATTCAAATAAAGTACTGGAAAAGTAAAATAGACATAATCCCAAAAAGTTTTCAAGCAAAATTATTACGTTAAAATAACTCACCTGGCCAAAAACGACTGAAATTCTGTGAAATAGGACATTCCTTTAGCAATATATCCAAATAAAAAGTCTTGTATGTTGGCATAAAGACAAGAAAATTTCTTATGGCGATTTACCATTATATACGAATTTTGTTTGGAGCCAATATAAGTTCCGCACATCTCTGTGACATCAGACTTAGGATGTCTATGAATGAGTAGGATTAGAGAAATAATTGAGTAGTAAATTTAGGGCGGATCAATTATTTTGAAAAAATTACCAAATGTTGAATGAACCTCAAGACAGTAACGGCGCAGGAATTATTAAAATGCGTTGCGTGTTGTTTTTAGGAAAATTCCGTTTTGTATTTAATTTTGTTTTTGGAAGCAGGCGAATTAGAAGAACGAGAACGTGTAATTAACTGATTAATTTGCCCGAGTTTTCTGTTGCGTCGCGTTTATCGCCGAACGGGGAACGTTGATAACGAAATAGAAACAAAAAGAACCCGCATTTACGGCTGATTAAAAATTAATAACAAGCGAAAACGTACATACATCATGTCCGACATTACTATCGGTAATCGATGGCCGCACTTTGCTCCAAGGTCATTTTTTTTTAGTTGGTCGTCATGGTTTCTCTTCCAAAGTAGTGTACATATAAATGTAATCGGTCTACAATGTCTGGTAATAAGCTAGGGATTTTGGAGGGTCAGCACCAAACCATGCACCAACGGTTGATGTTGTAAACCAGTTTCTGTTCTAGCTATAGAATGTGCCTTTGTTGTGGTGCGAATAAAAAGGTTCGACATCGAGCAATAACAAGATAAGCAGGGCTACTACTTCCCAATCTTCGGGGGCCCTCGACATTTGGTGCCGAAAGCACATAATTCGGTAATTTAAAGAGCGTTTTTTCGGAAATATGCTGATACACATCGATTAGTATTTGTAATTGCACTTTTTTTATGTAAGGATGTTGATGTAAAGAAAAAAAATCCGGCTCGACGGACCAAACTATGCTACACATCGGTTAGTATTTGAAATTGCATTTTTTTTTTATTTAAGGATGTTGATGTAAAGAAAAAAAAACCGTCTCGAAAGACCAAACTATGCTACACATCGATTAGTATTTGAAATTGCACTTTTTTTATGGAAGGATGTTGATGTAAAGAAAAAAAATCCGGCTCGAAGGACCAAACTATGCCATAACCATTATTGAATCAGCCGGAAATATTTTTTCATTTAACCAAAACGATTTTATGGCACGACTAAAATGTTAGCAAAAACTTCTTTTATAAATGCCAAAAATTGCACAAAATTTACCTACGCCTATGCCCGACACCGAAGTTGATCGGTACTCTATGGAATGTGACTAAGTGAATAAAATGACTAATACTCTCCTCGCTCAAATGTGTGTAAGGTGCGATGCTACACTTCTTGTTTTTATAACATTTTTTTCGGAATTCTGCTTTAAACCAATTCCTTTCATCATTCCGCTTGTGAACGCCATAAAAATGGAATTCTTTGTTGAATATCTTTCAAATATTTTGTAACTTGATTTACCGTGTTTAGAAATTATTGTTTCCATAAAAGAAATAAAATTTGTTACACGCTGTATAAAGTGGCTTATTAAGCTATACAACTGTATAAAAGCTGTCTTTGATTTACTAAATATGTTCCAATTTATACGAGCTGTACCGCAAATCGCTCGCTAAAAAAACTGGGATTGGTATTTACGAAATGACTTACGTGATCTAACCGTGGCAATAGAAAAATTATCAAAAACGTTTAAGAACATCGAAATTTTTGTGTATGTTAGTGGAATGAAAAGCAATTTAATCTAATTCTTCTAATTTTCACTCTACAAGTGATTTGGAATGTCGCAATGCTTTTTGTGTCGGTTTAGCTTGTCAGCTACTCTTTTCGATTATAAAATGTCATTGAGTTAACCCGGCGTTCGGTTTAGAATTCGTTGATAAAATATTTGTTGTTAAGAGCGCGTCTCTGCGGTGCGTTTAGTATTCCGAACGAGTTTGTTGGTCGACGAGAGAAGACGACGAGCGTGTATAATTATTATTATTACTGGTCGAATCGTCGCGACCTTGAGGCGGATAACGACGTTTGGACATAACTTTGCGACCAAACCCGATAGTCTAGACGGGCCTTTTTACCATAATTATTTGAAGCGAATGTTTTTATTCTTATTTCCCTTCTAACGGCAGTCTCCGCCGACACTTGAGTGGTCAGCTTACGGGGCGCTGAAATTAAGTCACTCCAGTTGATATCTACATTTGGGTATTCGACTTAGGCTACCTAACGGTTACCTAATTAAATGCGACCCCAAACTGTCACAAATATCTGAGAAATACTAGTTTTTTGTTGGTACCCGGGAATAGAATTTCCTTGGATAGTTCAATAACATTTAGAATTTCATTTTTCTCATCTTACCAACATAAATGAACGTCTATATAAAACCTTATAGACGTCTTATTAGACGAAATGCTATAAATACTGAAAAGAAACATCACATTTCGGTCAATAAATTCTTTATCTAAAATCAACACGCGCAAATGAATTTTTGACGGCGCGATATTTATCCGTTTAAGCAACATAGACTAGATAAAAATATAAAGCCTTGAAGCCGCGACGTTTTAAAGGCACCTTTTAGGTGCCAATTTACAACATTTTATCGGTTTCTTGAAGAAAGGGGTCTTTAAGATGCCTTTTAATGGTCTGCAGGTCTGCCTTAGATATATATATATATATATATATATATATATATATATATATATATATATATATATATATATATATATATATATATGTTTAGCTTTTGGTTCTTGGGTTATAGGTCTTTGTATTAAAAGCGATTAAAATTTTTTTTGTCCATATATTGACGTTTCGGTCTTCTATGACCTTCTTCAGAAAGGGGTACAGTCAAAAAGAGACAAACACAAATCTTAAAATTGAAGAGGTAGCATCATATGAAAGTTTATACTTTAAAAGCGTTTGGTTTTGTCATAGTGCCCTTGATAAAAGATAAAAGTCCAACAAAAAATGATTTGTATACGGCACTCACACACATAATACACACAAATTTAACGAAACAGTTAAAATATATATAAGAGTTTAAAATAATAATAATAATAATAATACCGATACGCGAGGTTTGCTCGCGTCGACGTTACTGAGTAACGTATTATTATTATTATTATTATTTTAAACTCTTATATATATTTTAACTGTTTCGTTAAATTTGTGTGTATTATGTGTGTGAGTGCCGTATACAAATCATTTTTTGTTGGACTTTTATCTTTTATCAAGGGCACTATGACAAAACCAAACGCTTTTAAAGTATAAACTTTCATATGATGCTACCTCTTCAATTTTAAGATTTGTGTTTGTCTCTTTTTGACTGTACCCCTTTCTGAAGAAGGTCATAGAAGACCGAAACGTCAATATATGGACAAAAAAAATTTTAATCGCTTTTAATACAAAGACCTATAACCCAAGAACCAAAAGCTAAACATAAATATAGAGAAGGTCTAAGAAAAAACAAAATATAAACAATATATATATATATATATATATATATATATATATATATATATATATATATATATATATATATATATATATATATATATATATATATATATATATATATATATATATATATATATATATATATATATATATATATATATATATATATATACAGTGTTCGAAGTGTTTTCGGAGCGCGAGCATTGAAGATGCCAAGTGAGATTTTGGCGAAACGTCTGCAGGATTCCAGTCGGATGCAGGATTTGCAGGATTCCAGTCGGAGTTCAACGAGCGAACGGATGATATCCCGGAGTATAGTGTCATCATATATATATATATATATATATATATATATATATATATATATATATATATATATATATATATATATATATATATATATATATATATATTCTCACGTATTGATTCACGGATGGAAAAATGTGATGACACTATATTCTGGGATATCATCCGTTCGCTCGTTGAACTCCGACTGGAATATTGCAGACTCACTTGGCATCTTCAATGCTCGCGCTCCGAAAACACTTCAACCACTGTTCGAATATATATATATATATATATATATATATATATATATATATATATATATATATATATATATATATATATATATATATATATATATATATATATATATATATATATATATATATATATATATATATATATATATATATATATATATATATATATATATATATATATATATTCTCACGTATTGATTCACGGATGGAAAAATGTGATGACACTATATTCCGGGATATCATCCGTTCGCTCGTTGAACTCCGACTGGAATCCTGCATCCGACTGGAATCCTGCAAATCTTGCATCCGACTGGAATCCTGCAGACGTTTCGCCAAAATCTCACTTGGCATCTTCAATGCTCGCGCTCCGAAAACACTTCGAACACTGTTCGAAGTGTTCGAAGTGTTTTCGGAGCGCGAGCATTGAAGATGCCAAGTGAGATTTTGGCGAAACGTCTGCAGGATTCCAGTCGGATGCAAGATTTGCAGGATTCCAGTCGGATGCAGGATTCCAGTCGGAGTTCAACGAGCGAACGGATGATATCCCGGAATATAGTGTCATCATATATATATATATATATATATATATATATATATATATATATATATATATATATATATATATATATATATATATATATATATATATATATATATATATATATATATATATATATATATATATATATATATATATATATATATATATATATATATATATGAATGCAGAGAATCCCCCCCAGCCATGTATTCAGCTCTGCAGCGCACTGTCTTTGGCTCCTTTTAAACAGCACACGGGACCCATAAATCTGTGTTTTTTGTATATCGCTATGAAACACGACTATGGCAAAAATAAAAAGTGTAGCTCCGTAACGCAACCTATTGAAATTCGAGGAGCTGGGGAGTCGGGAAGTATTTTTAAAAATTTAAAAAGCGCACTTGCAGGGTATCGAAAAAAAAAACATTTCTCCAAAATGAAATACGCGATCGAAAAAATTCTTGAACCAGAAGACGCGCGAGGTCCTAGGTGATTTTATAAAAAATGTACCCTTATAAGAATGATTGACCAAAACTAGAAGGCGCGCGACCATATGGTCCGTATGAACTGCTAAAATTTTTGTATTTTAGGTTTTCAAATATTGTACAGGGTGTTATATATATATATTCTATACCATATTCAATAATTTAAAAGGTGTCCCAAATTTGTAAATATCGACTTAAAATTTAGCAGTGAAAGTCCACACCCTAAACCGTAGAAAAATATGGCCAATTGGTTTAAATGGTATTTTACGCATCAATAGCTACAGTTTTTGTATTTACGATTTTCGTCACATACGCTGCCCGAGATCTTTAAAAAATCATTTACTTTTACCACGTACTGAATGGTTTCAGAAAACAAGTATTTTCTTGAAAACCACTTATTCTATTGGAAAAAATCACATACCAGGAAACGGGGGAGATCCTAACTGATCCTAAAATTTTCCGTTTTTGTGGGTAAATTATTGGGAATAAATGAAAAACTGCTAAATATGCGATAATTTGATTTGAACAGTATTGTAAATTGTGTCGATCGAGATTTTCAGGTTTCAGGTTTCAAGTTTGCCGTAAGTTTGAAATTTGGCGAGATTTGAAAGACACTTTATACAGGGTGTGTACACAACACAGTTACATCGATTTTGCGAAAGTTCGATAATGGTCCGCAGGAGCACGATGGAAAAACAATGTCTCGCTCTAGGACAAGAAACTGCGAAGCGGTTTCTTTTCAAAATACAAAGCTGCTTCGCGCGAATCGTGGTAATTCTGGACGTAATTATAAGACATGTCTAAAGCGAGTGTATCCACGAATGAAGTGAAATTTTTTGCAGAAATTGGTCTAAACCCACTTTTCTGAAATTCAATAAAACTGAAACAAAAACCTTTCCGAAATTCCTGGAGTTACAAGGGAAAAAAAACAGGGAAATCAAATCATATAATCTCGCGACTAGCCCTAGACTTGGCAACCGTGCGAATGAGGTCGTTCACTGAACCGGCGTTGTCAAATTTTAAAATCGGTCACAAAAAGACATTTAGATATACATATACAGGTTTTGAAATAACGATATTGGGAAAGTCGTCAAACGGGAAAACAATTATTTATTACCATACGATAAGAAAATAAAATATAATCAAGTTTCCAAAATTCGAGTCGCAAATTCTCTCCGAATATTCACGCGAAATAACCCAATCTGACAGCGTTGCACGGAAAAGACGTCGGCGTAGACTTTGCGCCCGCATGTGTTGGTGATGCGTTTCCGCCAATCGCGAACT